GCCTTCAGCAAGTAGCCACGTCCGCACCGACAGACGCGATAGGCGGGGAGCCAAATTCCACCCTAGCGGCGACCTCACGTAGACTCACCATGCGATCCATCAACTTCTCGACGTGGGCTGGCAGTTGTTCTAGGCGGCCTTCAGCAAGTAGGTCCAAGTGCCTATCCACGACGGCCTGGATCTTGGAGAGGGTAGAGGTGAGGTCCGTGGACGATGACGACGCCGACGGAGCGCCGACGGAGGGCGCGGCGGTGGACGCTACGGACGGAGCCCTAGAGGGAGTAGGGGACAGTTCAATCACCAGGTCTTGGACGCTGGGAGGGTGGGTGGAGGTGGAGGCGACGTTGGGTGGCGAAAAGCCTTTTTCTTCGACATGGCCGCCGCCAGCGTGCGGAGTGTCTCTGGCTTCCGCGACGGCAGGGGCGGAGAGTCCGTCCGCTGGGACGGGCGGGTCGGCGGACAGCAGTTCCCCGTTGTGGTCGAGGTTCGACAATGCTAGTGGTGCGGCGATCGCTTCTGTGGAGGACATGGTCGGAGGAGGACAGCAGGCTAACCTGCCGCTGACGCCAATAAGGATGTGGTGCTACCTCGGACAGATGGAAGGGGTTGAACCTTCTCTCAACTATAGGGACAGAGGAGACTTCCGGAGCGATCGGTGGGGACCGCTGGTGACAGACAGCGGGACAGTGTCGGTTCTCTAGGAAGAGCCCGTGGTGGTCTCTGGGAAGAGAGGGAAAGGAAAAAGAGTGAGAGACGAGGGGGGAGGCGAGGTGAGCACAGCACACCGACCCTCAGCCCTGTCGACGCAGAACCAGCCTGACGTGGCGCAGTCTGCACTTGCGCGGTGACGCGCACAGCATCGGCACGACCGGGGTATTATCCCCCCGGGCGTGAGAGGACAAGCCAACATGCCGGGCAGTGGCCGTTGCCGGTCATGTGCATACAGTGACAAACATGCACATGCGGGCCGCACGGAAAGATCCGCAGAACCAGCGGAGGAACAGTTGGACAGAGGGCCTCAAGTGGAACCTATATGACAGACAGACCAGTGACTCACAAACGCACCCATAAAAAATCGTCTGCCCAAAGTCGGAAATTGCTAATTCACATGAGTTTGTATGGATTACTTAAATTCTACGCATTTTTTCTACACTCCTGTTAGGTTCGTGCGGTGCATTGATGTGCGGTTCGTAGAACCTACTGCGAGTTGTAAAGTAAAGCGCCACGCCCCAGAGTTCTGAGTTTGTTAGTATGACCCAACGAATCCATCCTCCTCTCTATCTAACTAAGAAAACAGTCCCGTTAGGTTCGTACGGTGCATTGATGTGCGGTTCGTAGAACTTGCTGCGTGTGGTAAAGCGCACGGTACAATGCAGGAGGGGGTCCAACCCCCCCCTCCTATGTGACCCCGGTTGGGTCGTCTAGCTAGTAGAAGTGGAGGATGGGGTCCAGAGGGGCAGACGACAGGGTCCAATTATAGGAGAAAAAAAAAAAATGCGCACACATGCCCCCAGAAGTTCAGAAATGGACACACACGGCCCAGAGTTCCAACTTCCATTTTTATGTTGTTAATATGGCCCAATGAATCCTGAATCCATGTCTACCTAAGAAAAGATTGATAGAATAGCAATGAATTTTCGAGCGAATAATTTCCGGCAGGCATAACTTTTTATAATTGAACTTGTGACAGGTTAATCTTCAAGTGTGGTCCTTTGGTGCACGGGACTGCACGCACACGCCCCGCGGTTGGAATGTCCTTCGAACGACTAGTTTCCGGGCGGCATTTCTATTGTTTAACTGCTGTGGCCCGCCGTGCCCGGGACAATGCACACACACACACACGTCCCGGGGTTTAACGATTTTGGGACGAATAATTTCCGACAGGCAGCATTTTCCCGTCAACCGTCGAATGACGTCTTGACGTCTTCCTATAATAGTGAAGGGGTACTACGACTGTCCCGTTCACAGTCTCGTTTCCGACCCCAAAAGTTGAGATCCATTGCAACAGCAGGGAGCACAACAGAGCAACAAGACATGCCCGACGAACCTGAAGTGCGTCATCTGCCGGGCTCGGGCGGGCACTTTCGACGTGGTGGGGCGGGTACCGCGACGTGGCAGTGGCGGCTGGTCCGACTTTATCGAAATCAAGAACATTAACGCCAGCGGAAGGGCTCTCCCTTCCCCGCCCTGTGTTTCCCCACCCTCGCTCACTTTTAAATCAATCCTTCCGAAAAAAAGCACGCACTGCTGTTTTGCCTCGAGAGTCTGCCTTCAAGACACGGCGGTTGTCTTCGTTCTTCACGACATCAAGGCAGAGGGTGGCATCTTCCGGAGGGACGCCATCGGGGATCTCGTCGACGACAAACAAATCCTGGATTGTCTCGTGCGTGGACGACGACGACGCCCCGACAGGTCGCCAAGACCCTCAAGAAACGCGCCCGGAAGCGCGGCCTCAAGGCTCACGTGAGTTTGTATTAATATGTTTTGGTATTGTTTTGTGTTTTCATATTCAACAGAGATTGGTATTGTTTTGTGTTTTCATATTCAACAGAGAGATTGGTATTGTTTTGTGTTTTTCATGTTCATCAGAGATTGGTATTGTTTTGTGTTTTCATATTCAACAGAGAGATTGGTATTGTTTTGTGTTTTTCATGTTCATCAGAGATTGGTATTGTTTTGTGTTTTCATATTCAACAGAGATTGGTATTGTTTTGTGTTTTCATATTCAACAGAGATGGAGAGTCGGCGCTCCATTTATTAACTATAACGTTCCCGTAGGGCCAGTGCTGGAATTGTGTTTTTCGTGGCCATAGTTCCGTCCAGGGCCTGTGCTCGATTTTTTGGTTTCGTGTCCATGAGGTCATCTACCCTGCTGCAAAAATTACTTTCCCCAGGGCCTGTGCCGCAAAAATGTATTCCGTGTAGGGCCTATGCTGCAATTTTGTTTTTCGTGTCAGTGAGGTCTACCCTCCTGCAAACGTAACTTGGGGCCTACCCTGCTGCACACATTACTTTCCCCACGGCCTACGCTGAAGAAATTGCATTATGTCTAGGGCCTATGCTGCAATTGTTTTTTCGTGTCGATGTGGTCTACCCTGCTGCAAACATTACTTTCCTCACGTCCTACGCTGCAAAAATGATTGAGTCTAGGGTCTATGCTGCAATTGTGTTTTGTCGTGTCGATGTGGTCTACCCTGCTGCAAACATTACTTTCCCCAGGGCCTACGCTGCAAAAATGCATTATGTGCAGGGCCTATGCTGCAATTGTGTTTTTTCGTGTTGATGGGGTCTTGTACCCTTCTGCAAACATAACTTTCCCCTAGGGCGTATCCTGCAAGAATGCATGCTGCAATAATGCGTTCCGTCTACCGCCTAAATTATGCCGGAAAATGTTTTTTCCTGTAAACGGTCCTCACCCGGCTACCCCTCTCTGCTGTCGCTCCCTCTTCCCCTTCGCAGAGCCCCCTCCTCGACGGTCTCCAAGGAGAACAACAAGCAACTTCTCCTCGACGAGGGACTGTGCGGCGTCAAGAAACCAACCCACTGCGGAGAGGTCGTCACATCGGACGACGAAGAGGAGTTCCACTCCAACTCCACCCATCCGTTGAAGAAGGCCCGCACGGGCAACAGCGGCAACGACGGGGATCTCAACGGCGTCCACTCGGCAGGGGGCGCAGCCAGCCAATCATGCTCCCAGTCCTCCGTCGACTCCACAGACGACGACGACAACTCCCAGCCGCTCCTCGACCCGTCGGCAAACTCGCCTCGAAGAGAACCCGCCGCGGGCAATCCAGGCGCGGGGTAAGAAGCGTCGCGCCATCACGGACGAAGGCGACGACTCCACACGCCTGACGCCCCGCCGCAAGCCCAGCCCCAAGTACCGACTTGGTCCATGGACGGGCCTCTCCCTCTTCCTCGTCTCGCCAACAAGGGTGGTTCTTCGGCCGCTGGGTCAACGAGCTCGGGGGAGGGGGGGGGGGGGGGTCGTCGTGGACCTGGACGCCCTCGTCGAACACCAGCCGTCGCCGAACCTCCCATCGACCCCATCTCGGGGACTGCACCGACGCCCTCATCCACACCTCTCTAGAGAACTCCGTCGACTTCTCCCTAACCGTTACCAGCATGGACTCTGGGAACATCCCTTCCCACGTCTTCGACAAAATGAGCGACTACGCGGAGAAACATTGCGTTCGGTTCGTTGGGAGTAACGAGAGGGGGCCAGAGAAGGGCAACCTTCACATATATGGCGTCGGAACGTTCGGGGTGCTGAAGAC